TATCTATATCGTATCATAGATTATAGCAATTTGCCAAAAGAATGCGTTAACATTATTTACTCGTTCGCGTGCTGGTATATTTCCACTGAGACACATGACTATGACTATATGATTATATCAGGAGTAGATAATAGGGGGCTAGCTACTCCTGATTATATTAACACCCACCCGATGACTATTCGTTGAACTGTTACGCGATGTTTCGTTATAGGTCGCTCTCGCCATTTCTGTCTGCAGAGATTAGATTAGACAGTTCGATCATTCGAGAAATAGTTATGCAGCGCAAAATGAACAGCAATGAAGCGCAAAACGAAACGCAAAATGAAACAGAATGCAGCGCTTAAGCAACAACTGGTTCTTTCTCTCGCGCCACGTGGGAACATTCGCCGGACGCGTTTCTCTTGAAATACTATCGTTGCTGATGGTCGACGGATGGGTTCGATCGTCTCAAACAGGTCGGATCCTGCCTCCGCCTCGGGGGGTCCATTCTCGAAAGAAAGAAAAACGCGAGATTTAAAATGGCATTGCCGATCGGTCACAGTTCATTTGACAGTTTCTCGCACAGACGCCCCGCTCGATCTGGTCTCAGAAGAAGAACCATTTGTACACCTAACCTCCGTTGCAACATCTCGAGATTGTTTAGACAAAACAGGGCATGCCTCCGCCCACACATCGCTATAGTGTTTTGGCCTCCGCAAATATATGTAAGGAATTCGTAGAGAATTTTTAAAGGTCGCGCGGTACCATTCAACCATTTTGCTCGCATTTTGTTTTCACGAAACCGCCTCGTACGAGAAGTTAGACGGATTCCAAGCGTCTCCGGCTGCCGTCGGGTTGAATCTAACGTCTTACGGCGTCAGTCTAGAATGCGGTGAAGTTTCCGTATAGGTGCTCGTTGTTTTTCGCGAACTACTTTCTTAAAAAGTGAAAAATAGCGTGCGAGAGATGCAACCTTGAGGAACGAGCGCGAATAGGCAGGCACACAAACCCACCGAGGCCTCAGCACACAATGAAGAGAGCAATGAGTTCTGTAAAGATAAGATTAGCTCTGTAAACAACGCTGTTTTTCACGCGTTATCACAATCGCGCGCATGCGCCGTACACGTACCGATGTTTACATAGACGTGGCGGTGATAAGCGAATGCGAGGTTTGTTTACAATGTTTGGTTGCACCGCATAATTTTGTCACGTCAACGATTTTGCTCTATCAATTATAATCAATAATAGAACGGAGATCTGGATTGGTTCGATGCCAAATGTCAACATAAATAACGCATACACGTTTTATAATATATATTTCGAATATATATAGATATATCTCGTATTTATTACAACATATCAATCAAACAAATTACACAACGTATATATACGTCTCGTATTTACAGCATTGCCGCCAATGAATTGAGCCTAACACGCAATTACTACATGGATACGATCAATATCATCATCGCTCAGCTCTCGTAACGGCATATTAAGCATACGAAATCATTATTTACAACATGGTGTCAATATTTCCCCGTCCGTCTATCCCCAGCGATCACATACCCACCACACAATTACCAGTGGCGGATCCAGAAGTAAATTTTAGGTAGGGGGGGGGGCGAATCATGCGAGCACAAGGGCACGAAGCGCCCGAGGAGCGAGGGTGTTGGGCTAAAATACCCTTGCCCTGAAAATTCTAGGGGGGCACCGCCCCCTGTGCCCCCCTGAATCCGCCACTAATTACCAACTTGCGTCTTCAACGTGTCGCATCCGTATTCACGACGTGGCAAAACCGCATCAATAGAAACAGTCCCAATTACCGACCTTCTAGCAGAACGAAAGCTGAGCGCGCGTGCAGCCGACCCCGTATAGCACGGCGTTTATAGATATACGTACAGAGCCGGTAGAAATCCCGAATTCGGACCGATTATAATCAAGGAGTTTTCATTACCGAAATTGCGTTTCGTGTGTCGTGGATTACAGGGCGCACGAAGTTCGATACGATTCGAGACCCAGCTACAGGCGCGAGCAGAAGTGGAAATGGAACGAGTGCAGTCCGGGTGCCCTCGCGCCTTTACTGAGCTAGCACAACGAGTCAGCGAAATTGGCGCATCGCCTTTCTCCCGTGACCGCAGGTACTGCTGGCTGCAGGTACATGTAGGGGGGGGAGAAAGAGAGAGAGAGAGAGAGATAGAGAGAGAGAGAGATAGAGAGAGAGAGAGAT